AAGGAAAGTTCGGTCTTCCCAATAACGGGGTTTTCCCTTACTTAAGAATGAAAAATTACTTCATGAGTAGAAGTATTATTCCGACCCATTGGTTTGATGAGCTTTTTAAAAATTCCATTGTTAAAAAAAAAGACGTTAATATCTAAGATTCTGAAATGTTTTCATTCACACTTCCAAAATAACAGAGTGGAGAAGGATAAGGCACTCTCCATAATAAAATGGGAATCTGACTTAGACTCCCACTTTTCCTGAGAAGTATGGCTGTCTGGGATTAAAAGCCTCTCTCAAAATATCCATTGTAGCTTTATTTTAGAACTACATTACAAAATCTACAGATGGTATTTAGTCTCCACTAGACTTAAAAAAATTGTAAACAATGCCTCTGATATGTGTTGGAGATGCCAAGCGGAGAAAGGAAATCTTTTACATATATGTTGGGAATGTGCCAACTTAGATTCGCTTAAATCTCCAATAAATTAATGTTTTCTGTATCTTTTTTCGTATACAAAACTTACCCCACAAATGTTCTTATGGAATATTGATTATCTCAATTGTCAAAAAAGCCATGATTATCTAATAATGCACACAAAATTGGTGTTGGCACATAATTGGAAATCACCCTTTTTAAGCTAGGCAAACATTTGTAATCAAATCACATACCAATATAAAATGGAACCAAGTTTTAATTTTGAGAGAGACTCAATTGAGACATTTGTAGTATGGTGGCACCCCTGGCAGAAATATTTGGACCACTTAAAGTTGACAAGTGACTGATCGCTTTTGGTTGGACCCACCCCTTTGCCCCTCAATGGCTTCATACCCTTACTGGGATGTAAGAATGAATGTTTCTATATTTGTACACCCAAGACATAAATATCATAAACAATTGCGCTTCTGATACTATATTGTATACCTTTAAACTTCTTTATTTGAAATTTGTCCTTAGAAGTGTAATCATTAAGAAATTGTAAACGATGACATTTTCAATAAAAACAAGAAATAAAAAATAAAATAAAAAAATTATCACACAATACCTTTAAATATCTCACAGGCATACAACATTATTTATTGAGCGCATTTCCTAGCCACAAACATTTATGTCTGCTTACCCTATTAAAATATCCCCAAGGGCATACAATAATTAGATTGCCCTGTGTGAGGACCTCCAGCGTCGCTCAATTCCCCATAGGAAAGCATTGAAAAGCATTTTCAATTCTTTCCTATGGAGAGCTCTAATGCGCATGAGCGGCAATTAGGTCTCCACGGCCGGCGGGTGGGATCAGTCTCGCCCACCAGCCGACGTAATGAAGAGGAGGAGCGGCGGCGACCCGAAACCACCGCTGAGGTACATCGGCGGGGGTCTCAGGTAAGTCACTGAAGGGGTTTTCACCCCTTCAGCAACCAGGGATTGGGAGGTGGGAGGGAGAGGGGACCTGCAGTGCCAGGGAAATGGATTGTTTTCCTGGCACTGGAGAGTCCCTTTAATCTCCAGGTGTAAACGCTCACATCTACATAGTCCTGAAACATCACTTACTAGTGGAGAAGCACTAAGAACTACCAGAGACCCTATCTATTGCTAAGAGGGAATAGCACAAATAAAAATCAAATAATAAAGTGAGATTATCTAATAATACACCATCATGGTACTCCCCTAAGTGAAAATAAATAACGTGCGTTTCGGTGCCCCAACTATGCACCTTTGTCAGGGATCATAGCAACAGAGAAACAGAACATAGAATGTGACGGCAGATAAATAACCATTCGGCCCATCTAGTCTGACCAATTTTCGAACTCACTCGCTTATCACAATTTATGTGAACAAACCCTTGCAATGTTTGTTCCAGAAAACCCTTTTTAGAGGTCCCATATTAAAACCTGGATCTATCTATGGCCTGCTCTAAGATTATCAGATAGAAACAAGTACTGACAGGCTGACGGGGTTAGTCAATAAATCAGTAGTTGTCAGCAAATAATCCAGTAATATGTAGGCCAAAATAGATAAATGGAAAAAATGTGTAACTCAGTATGTATTACAAGTAATCTTTTTTTTTTTCCAGTCATAAAAACAAATGACTTTTCATTGAATGTTTCAGTAGTGCACGACCCAGTAATGTGGCTATAAATAGTAAGTATTTACTGCACAAATTTAGTCACAAGCTCATATACACAATACAAGTCCACACCCACTTTTATGCGTTACAGTCACTTTTTGAATGAATAGCATCTATCAGCTGACTTCACTCATTGAACCCATGACATCTAACATTTCCAATCACTAACCCAACTTTCACAGCTGGACTGGCACTACAGATTATTTTAACAAGCTGGGTGTATACTGAAGGCCAGATAAAAGTCACACAGTGTATGCAGATAGTAATGGGGCCATATGCTTCTGTTGCTAAGCGATTGGGATATGTGTCCTTGCCACAGTAATTGTTTGAATTTGTGATTTATAGAATTTAGAGTGTTCATTACTTCAATAAGCTGTTTGTTCTGAAATATAGTTTCCTTTCGAGTTTTAGAACGATGAAGAACAACTTTCAGGAAGGGGTCTCTTTTATTCCGTTAGAAGAAGGTTTTGCCAGCATGATTCTTCAGGGCAAGACACGGCCCTCTACCCACTTGAC